ACCCCAGACCATTCGTCCCGGTGTTATCGCTATCGCCACACGAGACTCCAGCTTGTCTCCTATACAATTTTCCTTCCGCCCACTTAATTTTAATATTCATATGACCTTTGCACTGACATCGATAGCCAATCGCATTCGACCGCGGACGTCACTCTAAATAAACAACTGAATAAATTAATATACCATATTTGGAAGATAGCGGGTAAATTCAATGTTGTTGGTGTGTTCCTTCGGGTTCCGAAGTCGCACGAAACGAGTTCATGTTCCGTTATCTTTCGCAAGTAAAACAGGTCGATATGTATTAAAACATGGCATTTGTTTTCTTGTTTTAACCCCCTTATTACGCAAGCTTCCGTCGAAGTGGTGTTTTTTTCGACGATTTGTGGCATGTTGCAAAACGAACGAAACATTGCGGCATTCTTAGCGGTGGATAAGGGATCGACTATGTCGTCACATTTATGTCTCGTTTGAAAGAGAATAAACAACCGCTCAGAAAAATATGTTGCTAATATTTAAGTGCGGTGCCTTGAAATCGCCTGCCCGACGTCTAAATTTCAAAAGGATGTTCGATTTGCAATGACGACCGTTCATATGTACTAGGCGGCGTTACTAATTACTACTAGGGTCGGTGTTTGCATTAAGAATTATAGAACAAAAGATCAGCAAAGCGGTGCTTTTGTCGGCGATTTTGTCAAAGGGAATATTGATAAAATGTTGCAAAACAGAATCGCGAGTTGGGTGAAAAATTGCGCCGGCGGCATTCTCAGCGATGGCGACACCCGAGAAACACCGTGTCACGGTGCATTTGTGCATCAGTACACCGAAGAAATACATACATATTGTTGCGGACGACTATTGTAGACTGTGTTCGTGTAGTCTTCGAGTTTGTGGACAGTTAAAGTCGTGTGTGTATTTATTCAAGCCAGGAAAAGCAGGAGGGATAACTTATGGAAATCGTCTTTCCAATTTGATCCAGTGCGACGTTGTGAAAGGAGCGACTCTGTCGTCTCATCTATGTCTAGTTTGTAAGAGAAAGATTGATAGCGCAGACAAATCCGCCAATAATGTAAAACAGTGGCGTGAAATTGTCAGTCATTCTAATATCTCCCAACCTGTGAACGAAAGGGTTTGGATCTAACCCTAGTTCTTTGATGACAAGTGGAAGAATTTGGAAAATAAGCGATTTTCCGAAACCAGTCAGCAAAAAAGCGACAGTATCTTTCCTGTTACATATAGCTTCAATTGCGGACAATTGTTCTTCTTTGATAGAGTTGATGCCATCGATGTGTTTTAAGACACTGTCCACTGCTGACGCGACAATTTCCTTAGAAATCATTTTGATTTGATTTATGGATGGCGAGCACCGACACTCCGATCCGATGAACTAATCAAAACTAAAATGGCGCGTGTCACGTGACTTTGTTTACTAAAGATAGCGTGGGCGTTTGATTGACTCTCAACTCATTAGTATTCCACCAATCACAGCTACATCTACTTTCTGGATGTGCGCAGTCAAATTGTATAGGAGACAAGCTGGAGTCTCGTGTGGCGATAGCGATAACACCGGGACGAATGGTCTGGGGTAGCGCTGCTGTGGAACGCCGGTGGAGCCGGTGAAAACTCGAGAAAACAACACAAACTCAACTTTGAAGTAATCCTGAACAACCAAATCCATATATGTTACACACGTAGGGCTAATCTTGTTACACTGTTCAGGGGACTCTCAACAACCATCGCAAAGTACCGTTTTCTGCGAGTTTTTGGTCTTTGTTTTCACCGCAAGGGTTGCCAGGCGGTAGAAACTGCCCGGATGTCCGCCCCCCGAGGATAGCCAAAGCGTGTTCAAATGCGCCCTCTCTGACAATATTTTCATCAATGCATTGTCCAGTCAAATTGCTCGTTATAGCTGCATCACGGGTAAAATTTTGCAGTAGAAGTTTTTCTTTTGAGCCCCAGATTGAACTAACATTTTACTATCTGTTACATGAGAACTAAAAATCCAACTGATTAGATCAATTCACTTTATTAATTTGTTTTCCCATTTTTCACTACACCAAAAAACACAGATATGACCAAGAGAACTAATGATGGCTGTGAACCATAACTGCCTCAGCACAAATACTGTTGTGTAATGGAAGGGAATGTAAAGGGAAATGTATTGTAGTGTTACTTCTTATTCACAAAAACTGCAAATCATGGCTCTGCATCCATAGTTGACACTTTTGATTCTGACCTTGCATTCTGGCTACATTTACTGCCCCCTCAATTTCTTTTCATTATTTCATCCAGATTCCATGATATTTAATTTATAAAACCAACCTTCAATTCACAGTCACTCTAGTTTTCACTTTTCCAAAGTTATTTTACTGATCAAAAGACTTATCACTCCCATCAAGCAATTCGCCATAGTACTTCCGTAGACACAGCAGCGATCACCAACGTAACTACAAAAAACCTTCACTCTGGGACCTAAGGAAATACAGCCACCTTGAAATGCACGGTAATATTCAAGCGCATAATGCAAACTATATGATCTCAGTAAAATGTGGATATAGATTTTCAACCGTCACGCGTTTGAAAACTTGTATAAAACTATATAAGAACTGAGAACTGGCTTTGGGAATAATTTCAATATTTTGCACTGATCACAGTGGTGGCGGCTCGGGAGTTGGGTGTGCCTAACACTTAAAGGGTAAAACGTATACAAGGGGGTATCACTTCCTCCCCTCATTTCCTTAACACCCCTCCCCCAGCAGGAACCAACTCATGGAGATGAATTAGTCTCATGTTTATTTTATTTTTTCTCCAGTTTCACTTTCCGGAAGCCATGCCATAAAGAAGAAAAAAAGTTGAGAAAAGTGAGAAAGACATTGTTACCATAGAACATCCAAAAGATGTCAACAAAAATGCTGTTGCTGAATCTGTGGAAGATGCTCCTAAACTACCTAAACAATCGAAATAGAAGAAAAGGCTGCCTGTCACGAAGACAACAACAAAATTATCCTGTAAACAAAATGAGTACAGTTTACAGTATTCTCCTGTATCGGAAGTTCTTGAATTAAAAAGCCACACTGAGGAAGGCAATGTACATAATATAATTCTTCAGATTCTCAGGCATAATATTCATGTCCATTCCTTATTTAATACAACGTTTCAGCATCCTGATTGTCCTTTGAATTGTAGAAAACTGATTTGTCTGTTACGTTGTGTTGTTAACTCTGCACACAACAGTGAAATGATGTGCTTTGCTCTTATATTGTTTCACCAATACTTCAAGAAGATGGTTTCATTGCTAGACTGTGTCTCAGGAATAACAGTTGATGTCCATGGATACTATGTTTCCTTTATTTCTTGGTTAGAGCAGATCTATGATAGTGAGACTATGGAGACGTTTTTAATGAATGCTAAAGTCACTGATACATGTTTGACGTGCAGTGAAAAGAAAACGTACACACTGAAGCTTGCTGATCTTCCTGTGCGTTGGGATGGGTTATCATCAGATGGCTTAGTATCTGGTTTGAAAGACCTAGCCTATGGCAAAGTGCTGGACAATGTCCCCATTCCGTTCTGTGTATTCTGTTCTGAGCAGGGTCAGCTGGAGAGAAAAGTTCACATAAATAAAGGTTCTAATACATTGATGCTTAGAAGATTTGGATCTGAAATTGCTAATCAACGCCATAAGATCATCTTACCAACTTTAGAAGGAAACATTGTTTATTGGTTGTATGGTATTGTTTGCAGGGAAACCGATCTTCCTTCAGAGATACAGAAATTGTATTTGTTACACAAAGATATTTGGTATGCAACAGACCGAAGGTCAGTCACATCTATTCTGTTTACATCGGTTCCTGTGAATGGTCTTTATTTCTTTTATCAGAGAGTTGGAGTAATGCCACAGGAATTCACTGAAGACAAGATTTTAAAGACAGATGCTAAGCCCAAGAAGAAGAGTGTAAAGCTGGTAGAAGATAAAAAGGATAACCTGCAATCGATTGATGTGGGAGAAAGATCAGATACTCCATTAGTCATTGGTGATAAATTTGTCGCAGAAATACCAAAGAAACTGATGACGAAAGAAGATGAACATTTCTCAGTAGATGAAGAACATCATAAATCTGAAGTTGTGTTGGTCAAGTTAAGTGATATCAAGGCCACGGCTCTTCTGCAGCAGAGACAAAGTATACGAAATATATAAAAGAATCTCATGTCAAAATTCATGGTAAGATGATTGAAGTGACAGAAGATGGAAAAGAGGATGGAACGCTTGATGTTGTCACCTATGAAAAAGCAAATGAATACCAATGCACAGTGTACAAGAACTTCAGACCCATCCCAATAACAGTGCCTGGCTTATTGAATATGTCTGCAATGACCATGATTCTTCAAGTGTTCCGGCTCAGTAGACCCTTCAGATCTGTAATTCTGTCAAATAAACAAAACCATATTTGTACTAATGGAGGATTCTGTGCACCTTGTTATATGCTGAAATTGATTTATGGTGAAAACCTGACCAATCTTGCTCAAAGCGTCTATTATTCCATCATTTCATTAACTTCT